ATAATGTGCAAGTTAGTGTTCATGTATTAATCTTATGGTCATTGATATATATATATATATATATATATATATATATATATATATATATATATATATATATATATATATATATATATATATATATATATCGCATAAGTTAATATTATTATTTTTTATTGAGTACAAATGTTTTTCTAATAAATATACAAAAAAATGTACAAAAGTACACCAAGTGTCTACAATAACCATTAATTTATTGGAGAAGTATAAGATTTCCGATTAAAATAACAACATTATTATAATCATTTCTTACCATTCATAAAAACGGAGAAATTTTTCAACAACATTGCATTTTTTTATGTTACCTCAGAACTCCGTCATTTATAAATCGATTTGGAAAATGCCTTTTTTAACTGAAAAAATATGACTTTCATATAATTTCATCATAACTGATTCAGCTGGTTAAACTTCAAATTCAAAAATTCAAAAACCAGTTTTGTTACAAGTGAAGTCGGTATTTTTTTTGTTGTACAAAATCTCCTTATTACTTATCTGGTCTTTCACATGTGGAGAATAATAATTAACAATTTTTAATTTCTACTTATAACCTGAAATAGTTAAAAAGTATTTTATCTGCTCGTAAATATAGTCTTTAGTTGGTGTACCAACTACGCGGCAGCAGTGATAGCATTCTGAGGGGATCGTGTAATAAGTACGATAGCCCGACTCTCATTGTGGGTAAAATTATAATAGGGACCATAAAATGATTTATTTTGTTTTTTACTAACATACTTCAGGTCAATTGTTACTAACAAAAATGGATTATAGTTCTGATATTTGTTACTAACAAAAATGGATTATAGTTTAGATATCTGTAATAAATCAAGAATATTATTATACAATGAAAAGTATTGTTAGAGCCGCAATGCGCAGTCATGTTCGCGCTCGCGTCAAAGCTGCTCATGATTAATGATTTAGAATTGATCCCGAAACTAGTTGAGCTTCCTCGATCTAATTGCATGTAATTTAAACCGGTAGTTATATTAAAGTAAAAATTGAGTTCAATGGTTTTTTCTCATCTTAAAAAATGCAACAAGAAGTTTTCACTTCAAAAATATTTTGGCAGTCATTTCAAACGAGGCACGAAGACGCGGCCACCTGGGAAATTACGCGATCACAGCGGCCGTTGTGCGGATAATACATGCCTGCTGTCGGCGGCCGCCAGGCGGCGTGATGGTCGCACGCCGTCGGCGCACGTGTCCGATGTCATCACTGAAATATGTATAATCTTTAGAAGAATGGGAGTTTGTTTGTTACGTCTTGGTGACTTAACCCTCTGATCGCGTATTTTTTTTCGCTTCATTTTCAAATAGCAGTATGAGTATTTAGCCATCTAGCGAGATTCTGAGAAACAATATCAATCTATCAAAACAAAAATGGTGGGACAACAACGTCAATAAACATAAAAAATGCGAGCACGTCGAAATCGTGGGATGCGTAAAATTAAACTAGTAGATATTGCACGCGGAAATCGCGGGATGCCCGAATAATCTGCAAATTTGGTATACACGTGATTGTATTGTAAATATTGTACATATTTTAAATTGTATATATTAAAAAAAAAAACAAAAACATACAATGGCGGATTTATCCCATAGAGGAATCTTTTGTAGTCAACCTTTGAGAAGCTGAAACTAAACTGCAGAAGTTCCTACGGGAAACGAAGAGGTGGCCTATTCTATATCGGGACCACATGGCAAAACACAATAATACTAATTATTATTTCAGCCGTTAACTGTCCACTGCTGGATATAAGCATTCCCCATAAGGGGAGTGTTGCCAGTAGTAGCTTGGCAGATGAGTTGGCAACCGCAGTTAGGCCTTTAGAGATGTTTTAAGAGGGACGCTGCTGTTCATCCCTCGCCCTCTCTTAGTCACCTCTTATAAAACCCATAGGAAAGGTAGGGGTGAACTATTCTATGCCGCGACCTACACGGCCTAGCAGCTCGTAACACTTTATTATACATTAGGCATAAATTATAGGATATAGACATTTTATCCCAGTCACGTGGAACGAAGTCACGTGTATATACTAGTATTGCATGAATTTTTATAAATCTGATTCTTTTTGGTAACATTACTACGTTCTTAAATTTTTTCAACATAGAGAAATCCATTATGGGATTTGCCATTTGCTTGGAGTTTTAAGCGAAGAACTTAACTTTAACCTTTCGACTCGTTGCAACGGCGAGCTATGAGAATTGTCAATGATCCCAGGCTCACAGGCGGTATCGAACCCTTAAATCTTAGGAGAGATTTTGCCTCACTCTGCGTGTTCTACCGCCTGTACAATGGATTGTGCTCAGAGGAATTGTTCAATATGATGCCCACAGCCACTTTCTACCATCGTACGGCTCGCCATCGACAGGAAGTTCATCCTCATGTCCTATAGCCTCAATGGTCGCGTACTGCGCGGTTTCAGAGATGTTTCCTCCCACGAACACTCAGGTTGTGGAATGAGGTCCCTGCCGAGGTTTTCCCAAGAGACTACAGCATGGGGTTCTTCAAAAGGGGGGTAAAGAGGTTTCTTCAGGGTCGGCAACGCACGCGTAATAGCTCTGGTATTGCAGGTGTTCATAGGCTACGGTAACCACTTGCCATCAGGTGGGCCGTATGCTTGTTTGCCACCTCAGTGGTATAAAAAAAAAGAAGATTTATTCAAGGCATTCGACCATGTCACAAAATTTACTTGTATAAATTTTTGATCAATTGAATTTATAAGTAAAGATAAAAAATTATAAATAAAAAGACTCAAGTCCAAACTTGTTAAAAAAGCTATACCTAAGTAATAATTCTATCTGTAACTATACATCAGTGCATAATTATGTTTGTAAACTAAAGTGCGTAAACAACAAGCAAACTTCTACTAATATTATAAATGCGAAAGTTTGTATGTTCGATACTTAATCACGTTTAAACGGATAATCGAATTTGAATGAAAATTGGTACATGGGTACATTATAACTTAACACATAGGATATTGTTGCTAGCCACTTGGTCAGCTGACTTTTTTATATATTTTTATAATTTGATATAAATATACATTTTTTGATACATTTTCTCTATACGTTTTAAAAATATATGAAGTTTACGTGACTCTCTCTCTCTTTTCATTTAAGAGTTTCCTCTTGTCGGTGCAACTAATTCATGCATCTTCTTCTAGCCAGATTTATCCCAGGCCATATCCTTGACCTCCCTATACGACATAACACCTAGTGTTTCTTTTATCTGTCCCATTTTACGTAACATACGTAGTTTATCATAATTTTTCAATCGTATATACTTTATATACTATACGTGAGAAAAGTTAGAGGAAACAGTATCGAAAGAGAAATTTGAGACAAAAGTTATTCTAAAAGAGCAATACCTAAATATTTATATTTCGATCAAAATTATACCAGCCTCTCAACGAATTGCAGAGACACAACTTTACATTTTGTGCTCAAAAAAGTAATATGACCTTAAACGTGGCTCCTTTCCGCGAACAAAGGTTAAGACTTCATCCCTTAGGGCCTAACTTGGGGGCAAACTTTCGGAATTCCTTTAAACAGTTACCCTAGTTCCTGAATTAGTTGTCTCGTGTGAGTTCTCAATTTGAAGTAATGATTTATATATGAAGTTTCAGTTTAATAACTATTAATATATTACGTACTAGAAATCAGCCCCAGTTTCGTATGGGTGCAATTTGAATATGGAATTTATTTTGTGATTTAAGGAATTATTTGAAACGATGCCCACAGCCACCTTTTATCGCTCGCTATGGACAGGGAATTCATCTGCACACCTTGCTTGAACCTAAATGGTCACATACAAGTACAGTGTGGTTTCAAAGGAATTTTCTCCCGTGAACACTCAGACTGTGAGATGAGCTCCCTTCCGAGGTTTTCCCTAGAGACTACAGTATAGGGTTAATATACGTAGACGATTGGTGTAATATTCAAGCTATCCTAGCTTGAAGATCAGACGATTGGTATAATAGTCAAGCTATCCTAGTTTGAAGATCAGATGATTGGTATAATATTTAAGCTATCCTAGCTTGAAGATCAGACGATTGGTATAATATTTAAGCTATCCTAACTTGAAGATCAGACAATTGGTATAATACTCGAGCTATCCTAGCTTGAAGATCAGACAATTGGTATAATACTCGAGCTATCCTAGCTTGAAGATCAGACAATTGGTGTAATATTCAAGCTCTCCTAGTTTGAAGATCAGACGATTTGTATAATAGTCAAGCTATCCTAGTTTGAAGATCAGACGATTAGTATAATATTTAAGTTATCCTAGCTTAAAGATCAGACGATTGGTATAATATTCAAGCTATCCTAGCTTAAAGATCAGACGATTGGTATAATATTCAAGCTATCCTAGCTTGAAGATCAGACTCTGTGTTACGAGGAACCAGGCAATGAATATATCCAGTACAAGCCAGAACAACCCATACACGACCCGCTGACTTGAAGAGATATCTTTTAAAGATAAGTTCACCTTTGCTTACATTGTTTTAAATTATTATTACTGTATATTGTAGTACAATAAAGATTATATAATAAAAATTCGTTTTCTAAATTTAGATATCACTGTGAATTGATCACATTATATGTCAATTGAGTTTAATGATTATTTTTGAATCGAAAGGTGTGTGTTTTTTAATTGTTAGTAAAGTCCACACTAATTTTGTGAAATTACGATAACGTAGATGTATTGTTTTCATTCAATCGACTAAAAAGAAGTCTCAATTTGGTTGTATTTTTTTTATGTTTATTACGGATGGAGTTATGAGAACTCCGTACTTTTATCTGAAAGGATATACTTACAGATTGATCAAATATAAGTTAAGTTTAAAACAAAAAAAATATGAATAGATAAAATGACTGTCAAAAAACTTCGTATTTATAATAAAAAATAAAAAAAAGCTACAATATATTTATAAAATGTACATCAAAATGAAACAATGTAACTATAATATTCTAATATTTATGACGAACGAAATTGTCATATCGGTTACAATAAATTAAACATGGCCGTGTTTTGATTTTTACGATTCTATATTATTCCTGTAACAAATAAGAAATAAGTGTTAAAAACTAAGAGATATGAAACAAAATTTTATATAATAATATTATAATTCTGGTAGTGAGTTTGTTTGTTACCTCTTAGCGCCTTAATGGCTCGACCGAACATCATGAAAGGTACATATTTTGTACTTGTTTAAGTAGCAAATTCCGTATTTGTTTAAGCAGTTAAAGTGTCAAAAGGGAGGCGGGGGGGGGGGGGGAAGAAGAGTTATCTACCGGTTAGACAAGAGTTAGATTACCAGTCCCATTGCTAGCAACATACCCTATGTTGCTAGCAATGGGACTGGTAGTCTGCATTACTAATAATCCAAATAATCCAACTTCCAGCAGCAGTATTTCCGAATCGATACGACAACATAACCTTCAAGAAAAGAGTATATTATTATATATTATATAAAGAGTACATCTTCAAGAAGAGAGTTGAGTTAGTGTTGTGGGTGATCATGAGCGGCGGTAGTGACTTACCATCAGGTGAGCCGCACGCTCGTTTGCCCCGTGTTGTACTAAAAAAAAATCCCTTACCCCAATTAATAGTATTTTGATCATTATTAATTCATGAAACATTTATTTTTATGATTATAAACATTAAAAATTAATTTAAATTTATTGGACACATGATATATTGATTATATTGTTATTTAATATTTGATTTTCTTAATTTAAATTCATTTTAATTTTTATATTACTATTTGCGTGCCTACGTATTTAGAAGGCTAATTACATAGCTGCCAAAAATAAGTCCACGTGGCTAGGTTATTGTAATCCATCTCGCTGGCTGAACGCGAATAAATTAATTTCGTTTTGTTTAATTTAATTTCATTAATTAAAATGTAAACAAACGATTAACTTGAATAAAACAGTGGGCTTAAGTTCAATCGTAGTAAAATTCAATACAAATAAAAATGAATTGTTAATTTTTTTTTAATTTCAAGAAGAAGAACCGACTTCAAAAAGATGGGGATTCTCAATTCGGCTGCGTTGCTTTTTGTTTATTACCTCATAACTCCGTCAGTTGTAAATCAATTTGGAAAATTATTTTTTTATATGAAAGGAGATCGGCCTCTTAGAAATTTTATCAAAATCGGTCCAGTAGTTTGGTTTTCAAATCAAAATAACTAGTTTTACCAAAATTAAAGTCGGTTTTTTTTGTACAATTTAATTATTTTCCAAATATTCGTTAAGCTCTTATAAAGAGAAAAAAATGTGAAATTGCCTAAAAATTCCATTTTTTTATCGCACAAACTGATTTGCGTGTATGTCCATACACAAACCGACAGGTTTTGACAGAATGACGTCGGACGGGCCAGCTAGTGGAAAATAAATCGATTGCATTTATCAATTCGTTACAAATTTTTGAGAGTGTTATTTGTAGTTATTTGGAGAGTGTTTCAGAGATAATTTCTTATCTTCTTAATACGTTGTATTCACACAAATTCAAATTTAAATCATCTTTATTTAAATAGACTTGTTTACGAGCACTTTTAAACCGTCATTTTTTTTAAATCTACTGCAGGTTCGAAAATTTGTTATCTGTTGAGAAGAGCCCGCAAGAAACTCAACAGTTACTCTTTTAAATTTCTGTTTACGTTATGTGTATTGTTCTAAATGTACTATGTCTTAATTATATGGTCGTTAAAAGCCCATGCATGATGGACTAACACCATGCACTTTTGTCATTCAAGTAATCGTTTAGTGTGTAATAGGCTTTGTTCAACAAATGTTTTTTAATAATAGTTTTGAATTTATTAAAAGGTAGATCCCAAGGGAGACAGGCGTGACAGATATGTATGTATGTATGTAGATCCCAAATATCCTTCGGTATCTTATTATAACATTTAATATCCATTCCCATAAAAACCCTATTAACTTTTTCTAAACGATGCTTCGCAACTGCAGGTTTATATTTGTGTCTAGTGTTAAGATTATTGAGATCGCTGTTTTTAAGAAACAATTGAAGATTCTTGCGTATATACCATACAATACATACATACATATACAATACACAATTTTTATGAATAAACTTAAAAAAAAAAACAGCTGAGTGGCTTGCCCGTTCTTCTTGGCTGTAATTGCGTTCTGAATGGGCAGTAATGAAAAAAAAAATGTTTAAACTTAAGTTTATTTGAATAAATGTTTTTTTTCCTTTCTTTTTGACAAAGTTTGATTATCTTTTCATTAAGTTCTGTTTTGAAATAGACTGTAATACGTTATATTCTATTTTAAAGAAAGTTTTTAGTCCAGGAGTGGGATGTTAACATATCGTTAAAAGAAAGTAAGGATCTTACTATGGACTCTTTCATTATCAGCTTGAAGGTTTCTTGTAGTGGGAGTGGAAGGCTCTTCAGATGTTAGAGAGGTTCGCCGTCGATCGACTGCGAAAAACATGAATGGAATTTAGATAAATTATATATTATTGAAATCTAAAGATTATTTTACTATTTATACTATTATGTATAAGTTATATAAAAGGATGATAAAAAATTTGTTTTGAGAATAAAATAGACAGACTCTTTACTATTTGCTCCAAAGGATTACAATAGTAAACTTATCGTAGATACAAACAATTACAAGAATGAATAATGATATAATTTGTGCTTAATTTTAAACGTCCAACTTAAAAAACTACATGTTAAGATTACTTACTACTTAAATATGCAAATAATAAACTTACTGTGGCGTCTAATAGTGGCTTCAATTCTCCTTTCGAAGTACGTTCCCATCAGTAAAAACATCACTATGGCCACAACTATAGGGCCATAGTTCCACCATGCCATAGACTTGTTACAACCCTGTTACCAAGCTTCGGACAAAAATATCACCTAACGCAGCATACTTTTTAACATCGTGAAAATGGAATGGTAAGTCCGCCTGTGCTATAGGGGTACCAGTAAAGGGTGATAGGTGAGGATGAAGCCCGATTAGTAAGCCTATTGCGAGGAATTTATTAGGAATTAATCGCGATGGTTTCCAGGGGGAACCAAGTGATGGTCGACGTGAATATAGGTTATATTGCTAGCAATGGGGACGTTAAACCAGATTACCTACTGTTTGAATTTTTAGTTACTCTAAGACTGTGATGCGGTGTGACAGCTATAGCGAGTGTTGCCTAGCAATTGTCATTGACTGTCATTAATTACGAAATTGATTATTGGCAGACGTTATAAATATTGTGCGGTTTCAAATGTGAGTGATATTGTATGTTTGTTTACGTATACCGTGTGAATTGTTTGGACTTTATAAACTGATTGGCATCTACTGTTAAATCTGCTTATTTAACCAACTCTTGAAGAGTTTCCTGCTGTTCAAGGTATGAATATTTAAAAGCATAATTCTTTGTCCTTTCATGAGGCATACTAGTTAACTGCCACCGTAACACATCAAACAAAAAATACTCGACTGATTTCTTAATTTCATTCACCCATAAAACGACATGAAAATTACAATATTATAATCAAAATAAGTTTTTATATAAATTTATTTTACTTTCTACCTATAACCGTGCGAAGCCAGTGCGGATCAGTAGTACCTAAATAATAATAAAATATAATGCCAAAGATAGTATAAAATACTCACCTGTTAATTGAAACGAATTGATGGAGCGATTTCAAAAATGGAAGAGCTCATCACAAAGTCTATGGTTGGTGTATTTTACTTATTATTTAGTTTGACAGTTCCGCTATTGCAAAGACATCTCTGGCAATTAATCACGGAAGCTGAGCGAAACCCCAGACTTCGTTTGACATTTGTACTATTTGACAAATGCCTTTTTTATTTTTGTTTCCCTAAGAAGAAGAAGGTTTGAAATGTACCTTTTAATAATATTTCTGAATAAGGATTTCTGTTTGAAGTGAGAGATTAACTTGATTTGCAGCACAGAAAGGAGCTATTCTTAATCTATGGTCTGAGCCTTTAGTGCACAGATTAAGGATAGTAGCTGTGACACTTTAGTATTTTGAGCACAACTGTCATGAGTAGAGATTTCACCTGTTAGCTTGAGAAAGGGTCGGAAGATATATGTAGAGGACAATAATAAAAATCTAAAGTAATTTAATTTTCGAAATAGATATGCATGTGGAACTTTCTCACTTATCGGCAGAGAATCTAAGATCATGTTGCTATAATGCTTGGTCGGAGTTAACACTCCTTTGTTAGAGACAGATATTAAAATAACAATACAGATTATTATTTGTCCTCTACTATATTGCCAGACTTCGTAGTTTGCGTCGTAGAAAGAGAAAGGAACACATTGGAACTATCTTTAATCTATGCTTCGCACCTTTTAGTAATTACTTCGTTTGTTTCTACTATAGTTCTTGTTTCAAATGCTTTATCAGTAATCAAGTAAGTTTATCATATGCCCCGGCATAGAATCACCCCTTTCTTTACCGTGGGTGTCGTAAGAACTAAGGAAACTTACTGGCTGAGGGAAGAACAGCAGCGTGTCTCTTAAAAGACTACCTAAACCTAATTGCGGTTGCCAATCCGTCTACCAACAGTGGCAAATACTGGCAAAAATCTTTTATGGGGGAGGCCATAATAATTTTGCCAGTATATATATATATATATATATATATATATATATATATATATATATATATATATATATATATATATATATATATATATATATATATATATATATATATATATATATATATATACTGGCAAAATTAAAAGTATATATATATATATACATAACTCTCAGTAAATGGACACTATTTAATGTAGGACAATTTCCATCTCTTATAAATCATAATTTACTAGAGTGCGCAGTAGGAATGGGTAATATGGATACTGATCCAATATCTATATATTGGATTCCTCTGTACATCGATGACGGATAAAAGGTGATCACCCATTTCGATATCGCCCATATCGGTCGGATATCTATTTTCGAATGTGTTTTTTTTTATACAACTTAGAATGGCAAACAAGCTGACGGTCCACCTGATGGAAAGTGGTAACCGCCGCCTATAGACATGAGCAGTACCATGGACATAACAGAGTATACTCTTTCGCCCATGATATCCCCCATGCGTCGCCATTCCTGAGGACTCAGGTGTTATTCCTCTGTACCCAGTAATTTCACGGCATATCCCACCCTTCAAACCGAAACACAGCCATGCAAACACAACTGCTTCACGGTTGAAACACGAATGGGATATATATACAATAGTACAATATCTATGTACACCAGTATTGTAACTAAAATAAATAGATATTGCCATATATTAGTAGTAAGTTGGCAGCTACATACACAACCGCGGTGACTTCAAAACTAATACACAACTATTTCTTCAGTACGGCATGTAGTTGGAATAGATCACTGGCTCCCAATTCCGAACTTTTCGTTCAGTATGTAGTCAAAGACTCAACAGAGTAGATCATTGACTTCTAATTACTTTCACAGCTACTGATCTTACATTAGTTCCAGACTGCTAAATGAAACGTGAAGTGTAAAAGGCCAATGACCTTTAGGTGCCCTTAGTGTTAGTTCTAAACGAGTGACCTTGTCAGGTACGTAACAAGGTCATTATGTAAAGTGTCTTTGAAAAGGAGTTTCCCAATTTGCCCTTATTCTTTTTGTATATAATGAGATTGCTAATTTTGTATAGATATTGGTTTTTAGGGTTCCGTACCTTCAAAGGAAAAAACGGAATGCCCATAGAATCACTTCGTTGTCCGTTCGTCTGTCTGTCTGTCTATCAAGACCCTTTCTCTTAGGAACGCGTAGATGTATCAAGTTAAAATTAATATCATATACTCAGGACTGCAATTTCCTAAATAAAGTGAAAAAATTAAGCTTCTAAGTGCAAACTAAACGAATTATCGTCGCAATCAAAGTATACGGCCGTCTACATTCCATTTACGAGTATATCGCATATTTTGACATTCGCAAAGGGAATCAAAACTTATAGGGTACTTCCCGTTGACCTAGAATCATAAAATTTGGCGTGAAGCAATGTCATGTAGCACAAGTAATGGAAAAAAACCGAAAACCGTAAATTTGTAGACACTTCACAGACAAAAAATATAAACTTAATGATTTTGTACGGAATCCAAGTTGCGCGAGTCCGAGTCGCACTTGACCGGCTTTTATTTATTTATCTTGACCTTTTCTTTTCTTTACAGTGCTAGACATAATTTTAGACATGTTCAGTGTGTAATATTCGTGCTCACGGACAGAAAGGTAGGTTAGGTTTAGTTTGGTTAGTTAGGTTAGTGAAAGATATAAAAACGATCTTGTTTTTATAAAATTTTCACATTTACCAACTCGCATTGGTAAATCCTAAAATTTACTGGTAAAACTTAAGATTTACTAATGTACGGGCTTTTATAGTAACATATACACATACACGAATACAGACATAAGTATATACTTACACATTCATATTCACCTATATACATATATAGATATTTCAAATGAAACAGTAAATATTTATGGTAGTTCAATGAACTTGTCTTCTTATTTTTCTTATCTTTACTTTTTAAATTTACTTTTACTTTTTTTATCTTTATTAATGTTAATTACTTATACGGGTAACCTTATTAATACAACTAAAATGTAAGTAGTCGATATTTGCATATGGGAGAAATTTAAGAAAAAATAACGTGTGGGGAATTTAATAAGTCACATAGATGCTATGCGGAGTACAGGCCACATATATTATTAATAGATATTTTTTTTTTAAATTTTTTGGGGAAAACTAACAGTTACAAAATAAAGAATAATACATAATATTAATCAAAGAAAACATTGAGTAAATTTGCCACCAACACCGTTCACCACAGTTTCGATACAAATATAATACAAATAGCTTAAGCAAAGAAGAACAGTTAAAAATTATGTGAATCTTTTAGAGATAAACTTTTTAAAAGTGCTTGGGCGTTTATTAATAATATCAACATAATTAAATAAAGCGTAATATGAATTCACAAGTCTATACAAGAGTGACCGTTTTCCAGAATTTGTACGAGCTATATATTATTATTTACTAAATTCTAAATTGACACGCATATCTATTGTTTCCTTTTGGCTTGCCGTCACGGCCCTAGTCTTCTAAGTTCCTATGACCAATAAACATATAATTCCAATTTCCATTTCTGGTTTCCTTTGTCGCCCACAGGCTATAACAATATTTTGTAACGTTTAGAAATTCTATTTGACCGTCTTTTTTTTTATACAACTTAGAATGACAAACAAACTGACGGCCCACTTGATGGAAAGTGGTAACCGTCGCTTATAGACATGAGCAGTACCATGGACATAACAGAGTATACTGTTTCGCCCATGATACCCCCCATGCGTTGCCATTCCTGAGGACTCAGGTGTTATTCCTCTATACCCTGTAAATTCACGCCATATCCCACCCTTCAAACCGAAACACAGCCATGCAAACACAACTACCGTACAAGAGGTTTCCCAAGCAATCGACTTTTGTACAAAGTCTCCGTCTGTATGTTTGCACTGGTATTATCCAGAGGATGGATGAAAGAAGAATTACGAAAGACATTTATCGACCAGGAATGAATGGAGATGTCGGTAGGGGCCGCTCTAGACGGACGTATCCCGACCAAATAGGCGACGTGCTGAAGAAGGGACAAATTAAAAGCACCGGTAACCGACGAGTGTGTATGAAAAGATTGATGAATGCGGAGGAAGCGGAAGAGGTTTGTATGAATCGAAGCATTTGGCGTTTCATTGTTTCTGCTTACCCTAATGGGAGACAGATATGTATGTATGTATGTATTGCTCCAAATTGGATGCGGTTTCCACAATTATGTTTCTGAAAGTTGTAACTTAAATGGTTCTACATCATTGGTTTTCCTGCTTAGCTTTAGTCAAGTTTAAAACAAAAACTCCTTATCTTGCCAAACTGAAAACATAGTTTTACGAGAATACCCGAATAATGCAAGGATTTCTGACAGCTGTAAGTAGTTTTAAGTGACGGGTAAGTTAGTACAGATAAAAAAATCCGGAGCGAGTGGTAATCGTAAAGATTTAACGGACATCTGCCGCTTTCAGGACGGTTTATGGGAAAGAAAAAAATGTTGGCTTAGTGGGAATCCGATGGG